TCTTAATTTACCTATTAAGTATTACACATTCGTCAATCATTATACAGAAGACATTTTATTCATTAAATAGGATAGAAATATCTGATATTGAGCTCGCCGAAAAATTAATATTTTGAATTATACCAGTTTCACATGTGGAAGTATAATATATGCATATGTGTCAACAAAATAATTAATGATAAAAATAATTAAAGCACTCGATGGACGTGCACACAAATCATGCGATCACGTACAGGATGTAACTCAAATAATACACATGTAACGTAAAATAAAAATCTCTTTGGCTTTTTACATGATTGAAAAGAAATGCGTTCCGCGAATGTATATTATAAAATGTGTCAAAAAATTGCACGGGTTCTTCCAATTTTTCTCCGCGAAGTTAAAACTGGTTTTTTGCACACTGAAGAAAATGAGATTGCACGTTGTCATTTATCACAACATATTTGTGTTAAAACACTTAATTGCTGTTCAGCTTCGCGCTGAATTTCTATGAAAATTCTTTTAAAGGTGGAAGATTGAAATTTGCTACTTATTCGCACGCTTAAAGTTTATCAAAAATCTTTGTTTAACAGAGCTTCTGATACAATTTACGTATTTACATCGTTGCAAATCGTGCTTTGCCCTCACTCGTGCGTGAAATAAGAACGGATTGGATTGAAATTTCGCCACGTAAAAAGAAAACTGTATTAAAGCTAAGGGATGGCAGGATACGGGTGATATCTACCGGCTCTACTGTGCAAGAAACATCGAAAATCGAAAGTAATGGATCGTAATATTTTTGTACTTACACTCTTACGGTATCATGCGTGTGTAGAATAAAAATGTAATTACGCAACCACGCGAGCGAATTCCCGTGGGGCCTCGCTACGGTAAAACGAATGAGAGATGTGACGTACGTTAACTATACTGGGATGAAGAATTATTGGCACACTGTCATATCGAAATAGATTGACCACTTTGCGTTGTAATAAAGTTTTCGGACTCACTCACACATTAGGGAGTTTTTGCAATACCGTACTGCTGAATATAAACTCGCTCGAGTCCCACGTGTGGAAACGGGGACGATTTTGCGAGCTGTCATGGCAATTTTTACTTTACATTTACATTATTATTTACTGTACATGCGATCTGTTGATATTAGCGCTTAATCGGAGATCCAAACCGGTGTAATTTCGCTCCGCTCATATCTCGATGTTTCTATCTCACGGAAATTAAACTCACCGAAAATACACCGGCTTCAATCTTCGCGTTTTAACGTATTGAAAGCACGCTATTGCAAAAAGTCTTCACTCTCTATCTCCCTTTTTCACTGACGCACTCTCATTCGTTCCCTTTTCTCTTTCGATCGCTCATTTTTTCTTTTTTTTCTTCTTTTTCTTTTAATAAACGGAAGATCTTGTGCGAACATTGCGTGTAATCTCTGTTGGCGTCTCTTATGCTTTTCTTTTTTTTTCTCTTTTTTTTTTTTAATGCTACAGGTACATGCGAGGAATTCGGAATTCAATCTTAATTTAATCGATAGCGGTAATTGCAATCGAGGCTCTGCGATACGAACGAGTAATGGACGTGATATGTTACATATGTTCGAGCGTGTTGTATCTGACGCACCTTTAATTGAACGAACGTCATTTCAAAATGAAATTTATTTTCGCGGAAAACGTGAAATCTCGCGATTTGATTGTAGATTCGGCGTTGCGACGGAAAAAAAGTCAAGATTTCAAAACAGGAGCGCTTAAGTTACGATTATCTCTACTAAATTAATCCGAATCACGCGATAACATCGTATAAATAATTGCATCAAGTCTTCTTCTTCGATGAAAAGTGTGTATTTTTGCGCGTTAGTAAGAAATTGCATGATATTACGACGTAAACGCGTCCTTTCTCAGTCTATAGTGGATTAATATACGTGATTTCATATTTTCTATAAATTTTATTTGTGCGATTTCATTATTCTGACGGAAAGACCTGGTCAAATAGAGAACTGGCTTTAAATTCGTTAAAAACAAAAAAAAAACATGTTTAAAGAATTCGATAAAAGAGGAAAGTGTACTTATTTAGTTAGTATTTCAAACTAGTTTGAATGATCATTATCGTAATGACAATTCTGCCATGTTTCAATATTTAAAAAGTACAAATGATCAAACAGCTATAATGTAATAAGAATCAATTAATTAATTAAAGCTATCAGTTCAGAAGGTTTACAGTAGTCGATGAACTTATTGATCAATTCTCGAAGCTTGCTCGCATATGTACACTCTGTGTAATATCTCTAACAAAAATTCTTGTACCGTCGAGTAGAATAGAAAGATATATCACCTTATGCAAGTATGTTTCTGCGTTCATGACGAAACTCTATTTCATAAATCACGTTGATTGCCATCCCGGCAGTATCATATAATAATCGCTCTATAAGTTTCGCTAATATTAGCGTTTAATAAGTAGTGGATATGTTTCGTGGTGTATGAAATTGTGTGGGAATGTTAATCGAAAATGTCGATATATCGAATCGCGGTACAAGAATTCTTTTGTACACTGTACATGGCAATTTGTCGATATAGTTGATTTGTGCATCTTTGCGTTACTGGTCGATTGAGGAAATGCGATTATAGAATTTTATTGAGTTCAGTTTCTCCGATATGATTTTTACGAATACATTTAAATCGGTTATTTCATTGATGTATTGACTTAATTAACACTCCATATCTGCAAAGAGATATCTCAGTTTACTTGAAAAAAATATTTTAATGTAGAAATATTGATTAATTTTATGGAAATTAATTTTTTTTACAGAAAAATATTTTATCAAATTCAAAAATAACTAGTGCTTAAGAATTTCCAGATTGCTTTTAAAAAGCAAATATTAATTGAAAACATCTGAAATAAAACAGCGACAAATCACCTTTTTGCTAAGTTTCTTTTCTTTGATTAATGCTTTTTTTTTGAAACGATTGATTTGTTTCGGAAATAATGTTCTTCGCTATTGCCCTACTTTCGCGCGAAGAATCGCACTGTAAACGAAATGAGAGCAACAGATGCATCGATTACTTGTCGACGTCGATTACTTGTTCCCAAGTACGCGAGAATGTCGTTCCTAACGTATTAAAATGCAATCATTTGAATGCATAATCAATCTGACAGATCTGATTCCCTTTGAAAAATGATCACAGTACACGCACACGTACACGCATACACACGGAAGATAGATACGTAACATAGATTTGTTCGCAGACGGCTACGTTTTTAATTCCCCGCTTTCCCTTCCACTATCTGTAACAGTGGCGGTCGTGAGAAGACCGCGGAAGAAATTTAATTTTCTTTTTTTATTTCCGGAAAAAGGATCTCTTGTTGAAAATGAACGCGTTTCTCTCCTAGCAATTGAGCGAAAGTGATCATTCTGAATCGGAATTTGCGACTCGCACTTTCAAAACGATCAGCTGCATCCGTCGTCGCGAAAGACGGCCTCGATGTCGAATGACGCGCGACCGGCACGTTCGAATTGATTCGCGTAGACGTATGTACGTTCCATATACATTCTGAGAAAAAGCTTAACATCGAGAAAAATATGGGGGTATATATTATCTCCTATGTGTCGTTCAGTCAAATTCGAAATAGATTATATTCATGCATCCATTGCCACGTTACGCGGCTCGCGGTAGCACGCAAAGAGAACGCTCATTCTCTAAAAAGTCACTTTCCCATTCACGAATTTTAGCCGACTCGGTTCTTTTTAATACGGCGCGATTAAGATAGGAGGAGAGGAGGGGGGGAGGAGGGGAGTCGGACGCATTATCCTAGAAAGGCACATACCTGCTGTATTTTCGATGTTTCATTGGCTCAGTGTAATAAAAATTAATACAAATTATTTTAACCCTTTAACACCTTGCGTTTACTTAATTTAATTTGCATTTTAATTAATCCTCTCAGCGTCTAACGTGTTTATATAGCCGTAGGGCATAACTTTGTAGCTTGCTTAAAAATCGACCAAGTTTGTTTAATATTTAATTTAATGCACTGGTAATTAAAATTCTTGTATTTTGTAAGTAAATCGTAAGCTGTAGATGTTAAAGAGAGAACGTCGAAGAAATTATATTAATTAAACAGATAACAATCTGAAACTCAATTAATTAGTCGTTAATTTGCTCGTAATTTTTATCAAAGAAGGCAAATAGACGCTACAGAAAAAGTGAGATTAGTTGAATGATACATGCCATTCCAAGATTTTTTCCGACAAATTATTCACAGTTTCGCTTCTTAACGCGGTTTGAACATGCTTTCTATCGCGCGAGCGCGACACTTCGTAGGGGCGAATAAAAGGAACCGAGTCGGTGGATAAACTTTGCGTAATAGTAGTAATAGGCCATAATTCCTAGTCGTAAAGTATGAAAAGTATCAACAAATTTGAAAAATCCTCTCGTCCACCCCGTTAGGCAATTATCTTCTTTCGTTATGCGAACGCGCGCGGGTTATCGCTCGCTAAAAGGACTGTGTCTCTTACATTGCCTAGGAATTTGACTTTACAACAACGCGATCGCGCCACGCTACACCCATTAGAAGAATCCCCGTTCTTTGACTAAAGGCGAAGAAATTGATGTAATTCAATTAATAATTGACAGATAACCAATTAATACGTATAGGATGGTCCTGCGGCAGAGAAGGCGTAAACTCCTAAGATTCAAACGACATAAACTTTTCTAATTTTAACATCGCCGCGGACCATCCAGTACATTGATTGTAGTTACTTCTCGCGTATATACCTCTTTAATCTACGTTTTTCTCTTTTTTTCTTTTTGTTATAATAATAGAAATCGTGTATCTGTATGTATAACTTCTCGCACCGAATGTATTCGCGATCAAGTTTCTCCCGTGCTCGCGCTCTCTTCGCTTCCTATCGTCTGTACATTCGGCAGTCGAGAGTACCACTCGTAAGCACGATACTTATATATGCATTATTCACCATTCCACGCACACACGGTGCCTTCGTGTACGCGTTCGAACTGAAAGTTCCGAAATCTTAAATAGTTAACAGTAACATCGGCGTGAACATTGTACAGAATGATCGAATAATGCACGAGAAGCGGAACCCCGGATGGATGATTCGCGAATCCCTATCAACAGTCTTCAACGATGATTTCACGACGCGTCGATGAAACCACAATTAACTGTCATCCGCGTGAAGTTGATGAAAAAGTTCCATCGCTTACTTAACGCATGCGATAAAGTCTCGGAATTTTTATTAAACCATGGAATTTTTTCTAATACAAGATGCAAATATTACAAGTATATAAAAAAATAATTTAATATATAAGATCGATTTTTCAATCGATAATTTAATTTTTAATTCAGCTAAAATGTTCTCCATACGAACGACAGTTAAGTAGAACGTCAGCACACCCAGTGCGTTAATACCGAAAGTTAAAATTTTGTTTTCGTCATTTTGAAAGGAAACAGCCATGATCATTACCGGGGAATAAGCCGCATAAATGTTCAAATACACGGTTCAATAACTTCTTCACAGGAGAATGACACGGCTCATATCCTCCTGGATGAACGCGACTCCATCTTTCCAGGACGAAACGTTTGTCGCGAGGCGCCTCTCGTAGAGTGAAATATGCATATAGTGGTTCACAGTTACAAAACTAACTAAATCTTACGAGATACGGTGAGCAATAATTCCAGATATGTACAGAAGTTATGTTACAGACGTTACAATATAAAGATATCTCTCCCGATGACGCGAATGTGCATGCGCATTCGCAGCCGGAATTTTAGCTTTTCAACGTGCGACGATCGGTATCGTTCAATAATAACTTCCCCCTCGTCAACGATAATGCGAATCGCCGAGGGTTCTCCGCGCGGATTGATTGCATCCCGCGGGACGCGCGCGTACGGCCCAGTCTGTATTGTGCAGCCTTCGTTTTTGAAATTGTCTTAATAATTGATAGGCTACCCTGTTTCGTTATAACATTATGAATGGTATCCCTTATATCCGTTCTGTACATCACGACGTAATTTTCAGAATACGTTTTTTTTTTCCCCGGTCGCACTATAATAAATTGAGAATCGATCGCGCTGTAGATCGTTCCCGAGAAAGCACGAACAAGAGACTCACGGGTATAATTTGATAAATGTGTAAATTTTTTAACAAAGGTTTAATAATTTTAAACTTACAATTAGAAACGTTATTACTTTAACGCGAGCTTTTAAATTATTAAATCTAATATTAAATTTACTTGTATATTTCAATCCTCTTAGTATAACGTATTTTTAAATCATATTCATTTAACTGTCGTAGTTTTTCACTGTAAAATCTGATTTTATCATATTCTCTTCGTACATTTTTCAATAGATTGTGTCATCTATTTCGAGCGATGCTAAAAAAAGATTAGTTCAATTATGTTTATGGCGTTAGAATCTGTAAAAGTATTACATTTTATTTTATCAAATTCTCCCCTTGAATACATCGCGCGTCTATCCTCGGTAACGAATTACGGCGCATCGAAATGGAAAGGGCATATGCTGAGAAAAAAATAATAACTTAACGCGTTACGAGTGAGATTGAGCGCGGATTCGGTTGCGCGCTTTCGTCTTCTTTCTTTTGGAAAAATGCGCGATGAAACCGCAACGCCAGAGGACATTGCGCCGTTTCGTGTTTCGTTACGTTTTTTTTTTATTTTTTATGTATATAATATCTATTTATACTAATTAGTTTATTTAC